ACATACATGCACAGTAAAGACAGTTTAAGAGGTACCATTTGTGCAGCCATGGAAGCTAAACATTGGGCCGAAAGACTGGGGCTATGATAAGCACAGAGAAACAAAGCACATGTAGGATGGGGAACTGATTAAAAAAACATTTGAGAGATGTGAACAATAAACAGGGATAAAGATGCAACTTGGTGACAGAGACTGTTGAAAAGACCCAGGGAGGAGTTAAACTGCCTTCGACTACTTCATCCCATCTACTGAGAACCACTAGAAAGTTATAATGGCAAGGAAACCAACTTTGAGGGGATCACTCACTACTTTCAAATAGAGTAGAAACAGAGCAGTTACATAACAAACAGTTGTTACCCCTTATGTTGTTCTATATGGCAATTTCTAAAAAGAGAAATGCTAGGGTTCAGACATGTCTATTTTATATATTTGTATACTGATTTTTATATGAGTTTTTATGTGTTGTTTATACACTTATTTTTACAGACTGGTCTTCATATTTTTGATTATCCTCTAAGCCACCCTGGCTGTTGTCTTTTAACAGAAATGTAGCATACAAACAATAAATTAAAAATAAAAATATCACTTATCAATGATTATCACATGGCAAACTCTTTATTACCAGTTTACCTGTTCCAGGGCTGAGTCTTCACAAACCCTGTTCTCCCACTGTCTCTAGACAAAAAATTAAACAAAAATTCTCTCTCAGCATAGGAAACACTCTATCTGCCTGATCAAGCAGGGGTAGAATGTTTGGCTCCTGCCGAAGGAGGTGTAGGTCCATAGATAGTAGGTTACGGCATTTGAAAATGTGGGTGTAAGAGAAGGAAAATGTTTTGAGAGTTGCAGCAATGCTTACCTCCCACACAAGCTGGTATTCGGATTAGCCCAAATACTTCCCTGTTGGTGGATCCAGTCTAAGCCGGCTAGGGTTCATAGTAGGCTCACTGCATCCAGCAGGCAAATATATATATATGGCGCTCAGAAAACGTAACAAAATACAGGTTGAAACCTGGATGCTGCATGAAATTTTAGGATGCAAACACATAAAGCAAATGCCTAGACATGACCAAAAGCTGGATTCATGCCACCCATTCTGCCCGCATCTGTCATTGTATTTCCTATGCAAAACATTTATTATTATCACCTCTCACAGATACAGCAGGGTAGACCAAGATCCTAAAGCTCATAGCAAAACTTCATATGAAGCAAGACTTCATATGCAAGACATTGTTGCAATTTCTCTTTCTTGAAAAATCCCACAAAGTCAATGTGAATTCCCATGGCAGCCTAATCTATTTCTGTAATAAGTGAATGGCTCCACTACTCCGCCAGTTGTTTTACAGTCTTCACAATGCTAACTTTCACAGGTACCCTGTGACAGAAGCTGCTATTCCCATGTTATTTATGCAAAATTGAAACTGAATGAGAAATCAACTAAATTTTTAATACCTTATATAAATTCATGGTCAAACTTGGACCCAGTTTCAAAAACCAAGTAAAAGTCTCTATTCAAAGGGCCATAATAACTCAATACTATTGCTCCCCTGTCTGCAAGCTATTAGAAATTTATCCTGCCTTCTCTCCAAGGAGTTCAGACCAATATTTAAACTTCACATCAACCAGTGTGCTAGATTTGACTGCCTTGTACAATACGCCACAAAAATTTAAACTTGCTTTTCTATGTCCAATTCCAAGTATGTCAGGCATGGCATTGAACAGTTCGTGGTCCCTTTTACTGTTATTCTTCATCCCTACAGGCCCCACTCCACAATCCCCACAGCTATAACACAGCAACACAGCTTATTCTTTAAGAGCTCAGAGGTTAATTCCTCAACAAGAGGACTGGCAAAATAATTTTTAAAAGGAGACATCCCAAAGAATGCCCATGAGAGCAGACAGCATAGTTCTCATTTAGATGTTCAGTCTACCACTCTCAGTGTTTTCCTTTCTGACCTATAGCCTTAACCATGTTACAATTTTAGCACTTGCTTCACCCCCTAAGTACAGGTCCTCTATGTACCCATCCCACCAGTTTGGAAAGGAAATACACATATTAGTGCATCTGCCAATGCATCACACAAGAATGTTAAATATGTGCAAGGGATGGGGGGGGGGACCCAAGGCAGTGGTTAAACATTGTGTCAAAGAAAATTATGGATCATGTATTCAGCCTAGCACAAAGCTGGAGCTTAACATTTGCAGAAAATGGCCAAGCCTATAGGCCATCAATAATGTCCCATTCTTGAACATTCAGTCCAAAAACACCTACCAAGTATTTTAAGGGAAAATAAAGCCAGAACTCCTTTCATCCAGCCTTTCCTGAAGCAACTTTTCACTGTGGTCCAGTCACATGATAGCTCCCATGCCATAATTTACCCTTGTGCTAGGCACCCACGGCTGCCATTTTTATATGGTGTCCACAGGCTTGGGGTGATCCATCATGATATGCAAGCAGCAAGGTTGTTTAAGGGTAAGACACCCATGGCAGCAAGAGGGGCCACAACAAGGCATAGCACATTGCGTGTCATTCAAAACTGATGCCCATGGGAACTCAGCACAATGTGACAGCCTCCACATGAGTAAATCAAGCCATAGTGGACTGTTACAACATGAAAATTCCTGCTCTTCTATGGCCATAGCTGTTTCCCTTAGGGTCAATGGCTGAGTATATCTGTACAGTCCATTCAAAGTAAAACATAAATCTGCTTATCCTGCATCTGTTTTCTGTATCAGTGGGTATATAACTAGCACCAAAACTGCAGCTGGTATCTTATAAGGAGAAAATAAAAAATACACTGGGCAGTATCTAATGTGCTGCGTGTTTTCATGCTACAAATGGAACCCACAGATCACACAACAGGAAGTTAGCATTCTAAAAGCAACCCTGGACCTAAGTGGAAACCATTGTTGATGGATCAGGACAGTTAGCGGAGTTGATGTGTGTGTGGGGGGTGGGGGGGAGACAGACAAATCTTTTCTGAATTTCTTCCTAGTCCTTCCTTTCTGTTCTCCATTTGTCCCTGCTCAGGACAGCAATGGAAGAGTCCAGACACCTATGCTCTAAGCATGTATCATCTATCCCAAGTCCAGAATAATAATGGTTCTTGGGGGGGGGGGAGAGCACTTCATTGCAAACATAAGGACTATGTCGATATCAACACACCACCGTGCAACGCTGTGTCTTCCCACTACCTACACATCAGTACTGACAGCACATAAAGCTGATACAACATGATGAAAACCTGAACAAGCTGTGAACTGTAATGTCCCCAGTTCATATCTAACCTTAGCATGACTTCTCACATAAGCATTCCAGTTTTTACCCCAGTTCACAATCTAAAGTAAAGGGTAACATTGCCTCACTGTCTTGTATCGCTGTTGGTAATATTATGGACAAATTAAATTCACTGAACACTTAACTGCAGTGTCAAATATTACAGAATTAAAATGTATCCACAGCATGGCCATTTTATGACACAAAGGTCTGTGCAGCCCCAAAACCCAGGTGAAGGACAGGATAGAAATGCTTTTAATAGACAAACAAACAAACCCCAGCAAACTGACAGGGTTCAGAAAGGGTTAAAGTTCAGCTAGAAAACAACACACTACACCAAAATAGGAGTTCCGCAGGGCTTACAAGACCTCTCTCATTCCTTATATACATTCCAATCACTTGCACCTCAATAACTTTCCCAATGCTATGATACTTTGGGAGCTTCCTGAGTTTAGAAGGGTGAATGAGTATACTGTCTATACTCAAATTCATGGTTAGGAGCTTATCAACTGCCCTCACCTGAAATCCATACAAAACAAAACCCGGGGCTCTATTTCCTACTATAACCCTTAAAAATAACAGTAGGAAATATGAGCGCACACACGGGAAAGCACTTTCAATTCACTATTTCAAGCCAAGTTTTACTCACCCTCAAAACTACATTTACATGTTAGAGATAGGAGACTTTGCAAACTGCAACCACTTCCCACCATTCCCACAAGAACATCTAAAAGACAGTATCATCCATTTAAAGACACAAGATTCTTTTGCAAAACAAAAGAAAAAGAACATTCCATTTTTTAGCCTCAATAGCCTGTCTTAAACACAAGTCACACACCTACACACATGCCTATTTAAGTTAACTCATTCTCTACTTCTCAACCACCTACTTCTGCTGCAGGGAAAACCCTATATGCAAAGCAAGTTTCACTTTTACATTTCCAAGGGCAAGATCTCTGAAATCTTTTGCTTATTTTTGCCAGTGGAGGGGGATGAGGGAACATGACAGGAGCGGAAGACAACTACAACAGCTGTTTCAACAACCCCCAGCCTGGCCACCAGCTCTAGTAACCCTGCCCATTTGCAACACAAGATGCCAGGGATTAAGGGAGGTCTGGAAGCCAGTTAACATGACTGTTCCTCACTGTGTTTGGGAGAACGACTAGGGCATCCATGTAAACAATCAGCTAATTGAATTCATCACCAAGCAAAGCACAAACAGGCTAAACCAGAATAGACCTTCATAAATCAAACCTTATGAAGCAGCAGGGGAAGGGGGATAGGAGGAAAGGAATGGACTAGAAACAGCTAGTATTCACTGCATACTGGAATTAGAAATAAAATGAAGGAAAATACCTGCCCTGCACCTAACCCTCTTTTAAAAACTGAGCAGAAAAACCCTCTGGAAGTTCTCCAGAGCTGAGTAAATCACCACCCTTTTAATATGTGAGCAATGAGAATACTGCAAAATAAGCAGGTGGTGTTACTGAGCAAGATGCCTCCTACAAACATAACAAAAAGCTACAAACAAAAGAACTACTCTAATTTCAGACCAGCATACCTTCTATGAAAAAGAGAGCCATCTTTCTGTGAAGTCCAAGTCAGTAAGATGTTAAACCTCTCACAGTAATAAGCATTTTTAATGCACAAAGTCACCAAGAAATTCTCAAGCATACCCTCCTCCTCACCAGCCAACCTCATTGCACTACATACAAAAACATACCTCTTTGGTTAGATCACCATTCATTGGAGGAGCCACCGCACCTAGGTCTTCCAGCTCTTCACCAAATCCTTGCTCTGCTCCATTTTCTCTCACCACATTGTCTGGAACAGTTCCATTTTGCAAACCACTGCCATTCTCAAGGGCAATGCCTGCACTGGGTTGTGCACCAGAGACAGAACCTTCAGGATCTCGATGTACCAGCCAGGCACTGACTTCAGTACTGGGCACCTGAATCCTGTCCAGGGCCCTCACCTGGTTAAGGAGCCGGCGAGCTGTGAAATAGTAGTCCAGGTCTACACTTTTGGGATGAATGACATAGCCATCTAAAGTGTTCCGCAGGTTGTGGAACTGTGTTTGGGTGTAAGCTGAGCTCTGACCCAGAAAGATCTCCCGCAGAGGAGGAAGATGCGAATTCAGGTAGGTATCTACGTCCACCCTTACACCAATCAAGCTGAGGAGAATGGTGAACTGGATGAGTCCTTCTGTGAAGTACTTCTTCAAAGAAAGCATTTCTGAAAAGGAAAGTGCATGTAGCAGATGTTTAATAAAACCCACACTTAACTATAAAGTTAGCTTTCAAAAGAAGCACTTAAAGAATGAAGTACTCAAATTACTACAATGTTCAACCCCCATTTTAAAATATAATTTAAAAGGGATCAGATTACCACCAAAAGAATCACGTTTTAAAAATTTCCAGAAAAGAGGAAATTGTTTCCCAGCAAGATGGCTCTCTGATACTCTCTACCTATTCAGAAATGCAAAGCTGTTTTATAACCAGCCAAATAAACCCACATGACTTACTGTTTCAAAGAGTCCACATGCAGCAACTTCCTTCAGTCTTTCTAGTTTCCCACACCAATTACAAGATAGGACAAGTCTTCAGGAACAGCTGCAACTTCACTCTTTCCCCCACCTTCTTCTTCCTCTGGCTCTGAGAAGCTTCCTGAAGGAGGAGTTAAGACTCCAGGATTGCAAAGCAGGGAAAGGTTCAAAGTTTCTTTCCACTGCTTGCTGTGGATTTCATCAGAAACTGAAACACAGCCAAAAAAATGAAGGTGATAAGGCGTTGGGAGACACCACCCTTTGAGCACAGTTAATACTGAGACACTTTATTATCTGTAAGCCAGAAAGAAACCTATGCAGAGAGACCACCTGGTTCCCCAAAACAAAAATCTTGAAGCTGAAGTCCAGAGTTATATTTCGTTTAGTTCTGCCTCAGTTCTCCTATATGCCACATATGTTCATCCCACATTCAAAGCAACATAAACTTTCCCTTTCCACCTCACCACCTCCCTTTCACTCCTCAACAAGGCAGAGGAAAGAGTCAACTAACAGCAATTCTGCAAGAATATTGGAGTCTGCCTCTCTTTATCCTCTATCCACTGCTTGTAGTCCATGATTTTGAAGCATGCTGATTATGCCATTATTCAGTGTGAATTTCTGCCATTAAAATGAATGCAAGTTCCTAGGTCAGCATTCAGTTGTAGAGGACTGGGAAGCTGTTTATCAACATACAAGGCATCCCTGCAGCTATTTTCCCCAATGTACACATACGACTGGACAGCACATAAGGTCCAAATTTCAAATATATTCATAAAGCTCCCATCTTAGATATTCAAATTCCTCATAACGCTAATCTTCAGCCCAGGTACTGCCAGGTCTTTTGACTTCTAACTCTGGGTATAGCATATTGACTTTATATGCACTTGAGATGCTGTGGGAAAACCAAGTGACCTTTGCTCACCTTCCCCTCAAACTTCTTGTGCTCTTTTCAGAGACTGAGTGCAGAGTTTGAGACCTTCACATTTCCCCTCTTTATGAAGCAGAGAACTCTGGATATTTAATTTTTGCACTTTAGTTTGAAAAGATCCTTTAATATTTCTTCTTCTAACATTTTGAACATTGATACTCACTAAGCTTGCTTATGGAATGCATGTACATTGTATTTAGGAGGAATAGTGAGGGGAGGGAACTGCTGGGGAGCTAGCATTGATTTAGCTTATTCAGCTTATTTGGGAAATAGATCGAACTTCTTCCACTTCCTCTTTCCCCTTGATCTATCATCCAAACCCTCTAACAGTTGTCAAGCACTAGAATGAGGCCAGGGAGCTATACTGGGATGGATGGTGAGGTAGTAAGAATCAAGAACCACCCACCTACTCACCCACATGCAGACAGGAAAGAAGCCACTACCTATGTAAGAATCATCTGCCCACCAATAAACTGCGGTTGGATATATAGTATTAAATTGCTATTAAAAATCCATGTGTCAAGTAAAATTGATGTGAAAACACCTTCTGACAAGTGCCATTAAGATACAGGAAGTGTGTCCATCCCAAAACTGCTACAGAGAAAAAAAATACATAAGGATTTATTATAACCACTCATATACTGATGCCAGTGCAAAATTTACAAAAGTTACTTAAAAGTATAAATAAGCCCTTGATAGAAACAGGATCAGCACTGTTTCCATGATCACCACAGCCTAACATGGTTGATTTAAGCCACAATGAACTATTTTGGAGTTGTGGGTGGCTTGTTAACCACAGTAACAATTCATCCAGTATTGGGTTCACACATCACAATCAGCCCCCCTGCCATGGCTTGAATATTCACACAAGACAGTGGACTGCAGTGATCATATGAACCAGCCCATTCTCACCATCCTTTCTGTCTCAGAGATATGGCATTTTCACACAACTTTTGTCCCCATTAACCTCTACATTTTATTTTCTTTCTTTCAATTTACATTACAGCATCACTATCAACTGTAAGTGGGAGACAAGAATATTTTCCTTGTGAATTCTTTCACACGCGTCTATAAGAACAGGTTGGAATGCATCATGATCACCTGTAGGAAACATCACACACCCCCATCAGTGACAAGCATGCATACACATACTCAATCTGCCTAAGCACCTGAGATGTTTACAGTCCCATCTGCACTTCACTCTGTCACTACAAATTTCTTGGCACATGGTCAACTAATTAGCACATTTAGGGATCAATCCTATGCATCTCCAGACAAAAAACAAGTCCTACAACCCCCAATATTCCCCAGGAAGCATGGCTGGCTCGGAAATGCTGGGAGTTGTAGGACAGGTTTAACATGAAAGAAAACCTTTATCCTCATTCTACCATAAGGAACCTGAAGCTCAAGATAACATTTCATGTATATGATGAAGTGGATTATAGTCCAGAACCTCTTACATCATAGTCATTAATGACACAAGGCTCTTTTGTTATTTTTACTGCAACAGTGTACATGAATAGCCAGAAATAACACTTTATGAAATGTAACTAGGAGCATGTATAATATATTATTAGAGTGAAAAAAACATACACACTTTTGAACTTTTCATCAGGCAAAATAGCAGGCAAAACAAAAAGCAGAGGGGGGAGTAGTGGGGGGAGAGGAATGGCTGACAATGAAGCATGAAGCCTGCATTTGGTTACAATCTTAAAATGGAAAGTGGGAGGGGGTTTCAGCCATACTAATTCAGTTGCACCGGATACTGAGATGGTTTCAGTTTTCACTAGTATGGACTTTAACATTTTTATATGGTCAATGAGATTACTCCTGCAGTACTTTCTGCAATTTCCTCTCCCACCAGCCAGGTGCACTGTATATATGACACTTCATGCAACTAATGGACTGTACTGCACAAAAACTTATACCAAAACAAATGTGTTCGTATTTAGGATGCCACAAAATACTCACTTGTTTTTCTGCAACAGACTAACATGGCCCCTCCTCTGGAAACTATTAGTGAGTTCTAACAAGCTTCTGAGGCCAGGATTTCCCCAGCATTACAGTAACAGAATGAAGTCACACAAATGCACTTCTTCTCACTGACACTGAGCAGCTTTTGAAATGCTGTTGGTTACTCTACAAATAGCTATGGAAATACACTCAAATGCCAAACTGCATCCATCCTACAAGTCCGTTCCCCCATTCTCCACTACTTCCTCTAGGATTCCTTCTTTCAACTGTTTCATATTCTATTTAACTCCTCTTGCTGCTCCTCTCTCTCACCTCTTTCAACCCCACGCCTCTCTCATGCACCCTCTATCTGCAGCTCCTTTACCTTCCTCGTTCAACCGGAACTCCCACACGCGCACACTTTCAGGCACCCCTTCCACATGCACCTACCGTCCCGTCTGAACTCTCGCTGAGGCTGCTGTCTTCGTATCCCCTACACTAGAGAAAGATGAAAAGGGAGTTCACCCAACCCTCACTTCTCCAGCCCAACTTGATGGCTTTGGCTAGTGAGGAGATTAAGAGTTATTTACACACCCTCTTTTGTTTCCCCTTACGGCGTATCCTGCTCCCTTTAACACCCAGATGTCCCTATACTGCACATTCTATCAGACCACCCCACAGCCTCCGGGTCTTACCCACGCGCCAACCAGGCCTATTTTTCATTTCACCACCCACCAGCACCATCCAAATGATCGCCTCCACCCCCACACCCTTCCAAGGCCATCCTTTGATTAGCCCCCCCCCTTCTCTTCAGTCTACCTTTTGCGCCCCCATTCCTCGGAGCTCTCCGCTCCTCTCTTCTCACACCCTCCCCACTACTCGTCCAGCCCCCTCCTCCTCGTCTATCGGGCCAACTCCCAGTCCCCGTTCCTCGCCCCCATCTCTTCAGCCTTCGTTCCCTAAACACCCTCCCCCCCAACCCCCAATTACGATAGGTCTATCCCCCCCCCCCCCCCACCTCGTCCGCCCCATTTCTCTCCCATTAGCTTCTCCTCACTCCCCACCATATGTTTCCGGGGGGCCCTTCCCCGACTCCCTGCTTTGTTCAGCTCCATCTACCTCCGCTCCTATAAGCTTAGTATCATCCCTTCCCTCACGGTATACCTTCTCTCTTCAGCCCTCGTCGTTCGCCACTCGCTGTTACCTTTGGGCGGCCTTGCCCCGTGCCCGGTCCCAAGCCCAAACAGCGCCACTCCTCTTGTCCCCACCTATCCCGCGGCCCCATCCAATCCTCCTCAAGGACCTAGATGAGTGGCATCTCCTTCATTCAATCAGAGAACCAATAGTGCCTCCCACCCAGAAATCTCACAGCGAGTGACAACCTGAAAGCCAATTAGAGCACACAGAGAGAAAAACGGTAAGGAGATGGGTGGCCCCCAAAAAATTGACAAACGGAAAACACCAATAGCAGTGCTAGAGGGCCGGCCAGACGCAGCGTTGACTGACAACACAGATACACCAATCCGTTCAAGGTCTCTATAACGTGAGGCGTGAGCGACAGGATTTGCAACCAACTGCCGATCGAGCGGCCGCGCGTCGGTTTCCCATTGTCTTTGGATAATGTGTCCTTACACACGGGGTTCCGCAGCCAGCCTTCGCCCGTCCCCCACCCAGACCAATACGTAATCTCCATAGCCGCTTATTGGCCCGCGACTAGTCTTACGAAAGGGCGCCATGTTGAGAGTCTTGCCTTTGGCAACCAACGGAAGAACCCTTCAAAGAACCCTTTCCCGGTCAACCTGTATGAATGGGGGTATTTTAAACCCGTCATTGCTATTCTGGGACTTTGAAATCTTACCTCCTCGTCTGTGTTATTCGAAAATATCCGAAGCATGTGTTTTACAATGTGATTTTTAAAAATCATTTTTCCAGCCCTGCGGAATGCATCTTGCATGTTCAATTGATATCCCGATCTGAATTTCGAACTCCTGATTTGCGCTTGAGAAGAATGCTGCTGCTAAAATAGATTTCCTGGCAATTTCGTTTTGTCACATGTAGTGGCACACTTTACTCATAGTCACTACAATTTGAAATTCACTCGCCTCAGACATTCCAAATTTTAATATTCAGCTTTTCCCTCAGTAACATAAATCTAACTTTCTAAAATTATTTTTCTGTTGCTTTTAAGGGGAAAGCCTCAGGACAACATAACAAGATTAAAAAAAACTGGAAATCATGGTTAAAATACATCAAAAATGTGCTTAAGGGTGTAAGTTTAATATGAGATTTATAAGGCACCCAAAAATGTGTGAAATAACCTCCATTTTTGAACCTCCATTTTCAAGATGTGGCAATTTTGGGATTTGATTATTTTAAAATTTGATCTCTAAAAGCCAAGGACTTCTTAGATGATGCAGAGGCAGCATTTTGCACTCACTCCTGAACTTTGTCACATATCTACTCACACATCTTTGTTTATCAGCACTGTACTCACAAACCACATAGCTGCCCAAGAAATGGAAGAACGGTATAAATCCCTCAGATAAATATAAATAATAAACTAATATATTATCATTAAACATTAGTCAGGTTCAGTGTCAACATGTGAGAACTGAGGGTTTCTTGCTAGGCTGAGGGATTTATTCTGCTACATAAGAGATACCTCCTGCCTTTACAGAAAAAACTGTGTAAGGTACACTTGCCCCTCAGATTCCAAAAACTAGTCCAGGCCAAGGTTTATGGGTACACCCTCCCTTTCATGTAACTTGGGCAGGGAGTCTGGGTGGCTGCTGGAAGCAAATAGCCCACCAAAGTCATGGTGGAGAGTTGGAGTCTGAAATATGAGAGCAATGGTATGGAGACATGTTTTTCTTTTCATACTGCCCCTTTCCCCAGCACTTGAGAATGATTTGTCTACAAAAGCTTTCTGCTCCATTAATTACTATGCTGAGATGGAATTGAGGATATTCCATCTCACTGATCATATCTGTATCCAGGAGCAGTGTCAAACATAGGCATGGTTGGCCACCTGTCAAGAGTCTAGACCCCAACAGAAGCTCACAAAAGCTCCTCCTTTTCACAAGTGCAACTTGCTTGTTCACCTGCTCCTAACTATAGCCCTGAGAATGGTGATAGCAAAGAGGAGGAGGAGTGGATGTCACAACCTACTGGCTTCTTGGCTCTCTGCCTTTCAAACAAGCAAATGGGAACAACCACGGAAAAGAGCACAAGAAGCAATTGCAGCTAGTGCTAACAGTAATGAAGGCTGAGTGCGGGTTGGTATAGAACTGTGGCGTGTTGTTGAGCTGTGAATTATCATCAACCCAGCCAAGCTAAAATAAAAATATTGCTTGTTAACCACAAACTATCCATAGTTTACAATCAGACAACAAACCCATGGGTCTTCTTCATGGGTTGTTTATAGTAACAAAACATGTTTAGTTGACACAGATGGGTTAAAACAACATGATAACCCACAATACACCCTGGTTTCATGATATTCATATTCAGCCTTTGAGTATGGGTTATCACATTGTCTGAAACCAAGTGAGGGGCCCACCAAGTTTGTCTTGCCCAACTGCCCTCAGAAACCTGGAGCCCATGCTGCCTTCATGTAACTATTTTCACATGAGATTGTCAATATGCTAATTTCAAATTGACCCATCTATTGTTTAGACTGAACATTTCAAATGTAGGTAAGGATCTCTCTCTCCTTCTTCCCACCCCTTTTCAGAAAGAAATAGCTTTTTTATTACCTTGAAGCCATGATTCTACCCATTGTTCATAAGCAAACCTAATTTGAGGTCTCAGTGGCATATTTTTCATAACCCCAAACCATTATATTTTAACACAGGCTTCTTAATTTTTCCCATGAGCAACCACAGAGGTTTTTGAAACTGCCCAGCCACATGTTTCTACAACTGAAACTGATGCTAAGGTAATTTTTTCATGCCCTACTGTAATGCTATTTATGTATATTCATCCCAATCTATAGCATGATATCTACATGCAGAAACAAGTTTCTAGTGGTAAATTATACCATTCAATATAAATCAAGAGCTTGTCCAACACCACCACTCTGAGCAAACTGAAACTTTCCTCATCTCTTAAAAGCTTCCATCAGTTCTTTTTTTCCTCAGCTATGCCTGAAATAGCCTATCAGAACACCTACATGGTCCCACTTCCTTTTTTCCTCTCAAATTGCTTCCCAAATCCACCCCATGCACTTTTCTTTCCCTGCCCACTTTGTGGGAAAGAACACCTGTAAAGCATACAGCAAAAACAGGAAGAAATATTTAAAGCAAGGAAGAAAACAATGATCTTGCACATGAGATCCAGTTTTGGATGTTTCTAGTCCTGTGAGATTCTGCCCCCTGGCCTACCAGAACACCCTTGAACTCCCAGGCTTAGCTCTCTCATCTCAGCATATAAACTGCTCAACACCTGGCAGCCTACACTTGCTTCTGTTGAACTCTCACATCTGGCCGGTTGGACCAGAACCTTCCTGCTGTTCCAGTTCTGGTTTGTTTTTAACATGGAGGGAATATTTTATGCAGGGGAGGTTTTACATGTAGGTTTTACATACACAACACCACTGCAATCTGAAGATGCAATGTCTGGACTGCCCCCCACCCCATCTTGCTGACTTTCATGAATGACGTAGGACAGTCACACAATAAAGGCTTTATGTGGAAGAATCCACCATCTCTGACCTACTAAATTGCTATGGCACCAATCATTATCAAATGTCCAAGAAATGGTGCAATCTTAATTACTATTTTCATAGCTCATGACATTATGTATTGTGTACAGTTTCCCCTCTCAGCCCTAACTTTGACTGACACACCCTGCTATTGCGAGATCTTGACAACCTGTCCTAGGTTGGGTACTTCTTAAAGGACTTCAAAGGTGTGCTCTGCCCTGGCAAACACAGAGGGAACAGGTTAATTCTGAAGTGTTCTATGTATGATCAAACAAGTCAATATGGGACAACTTGGCATCACTCCTTGTTTTGGCTTTTTTATTAGAAAAGGACATCCCCTTTTCACCCCCTTTAATTCAGGGATCCAGCAGAACTCAGACCCAGAGCACATTCTGATGTAATGATAAACAGCTTTAAATATTCCACAGGGATATACTTTGAATAATCACAACTAGCAAATCTCCATACATGTGGCATCAGGAAAAAATTGTCCTGGACGAAGTATCCCTGGCAGGGGAATTTGGGTGCCTTTCATTTCATACATTAAACAAAGCATAGCTTATATTCCCCTGCACACATCCACACAAATTACATACTTGCCTTTGCATTTTAAAACTGCTGCCCCATAGAGACTTATTTGGGAGAAAGTTAAGTGAACAAAATAGAACTGGTTTACCTTTTTAAAAAAATCTTTCCTCTGAGGAGGCCAGTGTGATGTAGATGGTCCTTATAGCAAGTCTTTGAGGTGCCTTACACTGAAAGACAGCAATTGACCAAACACCCAGTAAGCTTTGCCAATTGTGCAATGATTTGAATTCCATCTCCCCTGTCTAGTTCCAATACTTAAGCCTAGGGATGCAGAACCTCTAGTGATTGATTGGAGATAAGAGCTTTTGTTGGGGAGTCTGGGCCAGATGAAGAAGTTGCTTAATAATTCCGTCCTGCTTCTTTATAAGTAGCTATGCAGTGCCTTGCCCTGCTTACTTGTGAGCAGAGATGCCATTTGAAAGTGCTGCTGAAATGATTTAGTGCTGCTTTCTTGTGAGTCTTGGCCTGCAAAGGCACATCCTGCCTACTTCTAAGTACAAATGAAGAGGCTTGGCATTTGAAAGTACATATTCACTACTATATATTATAGTATATGTGCGGAACCTTGCACTGCTTAGTTTTGAGTATAAACAAATATGAATGAAATGGAGTGGGGGAAGGTGGTTGGATTACCCACTACCCTTTAACCCTGTTCACTTTTGCCTATGGCCTCTCTCCCACTGCTGGAATGCAGACCTCAAGAGACTTGGAGACATTTCTCCTAAATGGAACCTAGTCCTAAGATTCAAAAACTGTGCACTGCTGCTCATTTTATCATAGCTGCAGTAGAAATGTATAAGACTGGTATCATCAATTATAGGCGTCCCCAACTCTTTACAAACTGATCTTCAGGCTTGGTCTTTGCTTTAACTCTCTACAATTTCAGCTGGTATGCTATCAATGCCCCATTCTTCACTAGAATTTCCTGGTGGAGTTCAGATTCACAGTTGCTGAAA